CCTTCTGCTTGAGCAACTGGATTTGCTCTTCTCCTTCTCCTAAGTAGTCTTGGTTGAGCCATCTGGAAAAGAAAACTCCTGGCTCAATGATGAAATTCCCCTGCTGAACTAGAAGAAGAGGATGATGATTAATAATGATTTGATTGTTTATTCTGCCAGTCATCTTTTCTTTCTTGGTTTATCATGTGTTGGTGGTAATGCTTGTTTAGTAGTTATGATTTTCCGTTCCTCTTGATAAATTAAAATTTCATAAGTGATTTTTTCTTGATCTAGATATTGCTGGAGAGTTTGAGTATTATTGATTTTAAAAATGTATGGAGCAATTTTCTCTCCTTGAGCTTTCTTTAAAATACTTCTAATGGTGCTGTAATTCTTGGGTTCCATGGCGGATTTAATGTAAATTAGTTTCATATTAATTTTTGATATAGAAATAATTATATATTAATCCTGTTATGGTTTATATTCATCACATGATAAAGGGAACATTAAAATTATGAATGAGCACCATCATTACTTTTTAAAACGTCACCAGTCACACTGGCCAGCTTTTGGTTAATTTGATATGAATATTTCCAAATTCTTTTTTCTTTAGGTCCTACCAATTTTTGTTCACTTTGGTATAACCACAACAATTGCATTAATTGCCTTTATAGCTGATTTAAGATTTGGTGTTTCTTTTGCACAAGATTTAAAGCCAAAGAATAATAAAGATTGACTCCGAATTTCTATAAATTTTTCACTTTTACCTGATCATCAGAGAGAATGTGTTTACTGTAAAACCAAGTGACTGTAAAAGCCCTCGTGTCGCTTCCCAATGGTTCACTGAATATGTTTTGCATAAATCTTTTGCTACTGAACTCTCAAAATTATCTTTAGCATCATAGCATGTATCTCCCATTGTGTGATATCTTTGGCCTTTAATTCTTCTATTGCACTCTCTTCATCATAACCTTGCTTGTAAAAATAAGATAGACGCAAGAAATGCCTTCTAGGTTCAGGTGGACTAAAATGTTCTACAAAATCTTTATTCCAATCCTCAATGCTCATACCATTTCCACCATAAAGATTCCACATATAAAAACGCTTAAGTGCTATGGTATCTGCAACTGAACGTTCTGAACCGAGTTTAAGGGATTCAGCTTCCTCAAGGGTAAGATTTCGAGAAGTGGCAATTAGCAAAGCCGAAATTGTTAATCAAGCGAGAATAGTCAATGAACCCATACAACTTAGCTCCCAAACCTATTAATACAAAAATAACTATCCATGTTATATATCTAATGAAAATTTTATCTAGTAATGAGGATCAATAGTAGGCTCTGTAATACGTACATAGCACTTTAGCACGATTTTTACATGACTATCTTTTTCGTGTGATGTGATGAATGTGGGATGCGAAGTGAGCGTGCATGCTAATATTTCTCCATCAAGTTTCATTGCAATGAAGTTGTCGATTCAGAATTTGAAATGCGCAGTACCATTCTTTCGGTACCAATTATATAGTTCGTCATCATGTACTCAATGAATTTTATATAATAAACCCCTTTGTCGAGTCAGGATTATAGGGGATCATAACTTCATCGGAATAGCGTAAAATTCTTTTTACTGTTAAATTAAGGAACCGTTGATTAGATTTCGTAATGCGATCATATTAACGTAATCCCCCAAAAGCGTATACCAAAATCGATCCTGCAAATTACATAAAATGGTGATGTCCCTGTTAGTGAATCCTTTTACCTGCCTTGTGCAAGCAAAACGAAAAAATCAAGCGAAATAAACTTACTATTTACATTATCAATATTATCATTCCAACGAACAAGTATATCCCGGCTAGCTTTTTGAAACATGTCATCACGATGTTAATCGATTTCCCACCTCTATAGACGTTCCAAATAAAACGCTTCTTGTTATATGTCAGCATTTTGATCTTCACCGAGAAAATCTCTAACTAAATAAATTTTCCGGTAATACCTCTCTATGCAGTATTGTACGTACTTGTGATGAGAAAATTAAACAATAAATTTCTTGCATATGATAATGAGGCGGGATGGAATGTTGTAAAAATTAATCGTAGCGGTAAGTGTGAGTCGATAATGTTCATTATTTTTTTTTACCTCAGTTGCTAATCCACCGAATTTATGCTGTAGATTCGAAATTATTCATTCTCGGGAAAGTTCTCACGCGGAACTTATGATCTGTATAATAGATGTAGAAATTTTACTTCAGGCAGAGAAAGAGTGGATTCCAAAGAAATCATTAGTGATTAGAACAAATTAGTTATAGAAAACTTGAGAGAGCAAAGAAATAATGTGACGCTGGGACTCTGCATTAAATGGCCCAGGATCCGCGTACTCCCTCCCTCTTTGACAGCATCATTTATTTCATTCGATTCTCTAGCATTTTCTGATTCGCTATGTGTCTTATCCACTTGGAATTTGCATCTTGGTAAAAAACCGTTATACCATTGGTAACGATCAGAATGTAACTTCGACTGCTATAGTAAACATAGATCTAGACTGTAACGGGCATAACACCTTCAGAGAGAAAAAGCATAACGCCTCCCTCCTAGTTACAGGAATAGCATAACGCCTCAACACATAGATCTATATTCGAGAATCTCTATGACTGTAACGGGCATAACACCTTCAGAGAGAAAAAGCATAACGCCTCCCTCCTTGTTACAGGAATAGCATAACGCCTCAAACATAGAGTCTCCGAGTGTTAAAAATTTGGAAAATCTGACATTTATAATACACTGTTACACTAATTTCCTAGATATTACGTCATCTTTATAAAACGGGAACGCAGAACGCGTTTTCGTTTTCGTTTTCATTTTCATCTTCATTCGCTATGGCTTCTTTGGACAACTATATGATTCAGACTCCTGCGGATGAATGGTCACTTCTAGGCTATCTTAAGTATCGCAAGGAACAAAATGATTTCTCAGGAATAAGATCTAAAGAGCATTACAGATACCAAATGAGTTTGGTAGCCGTGCGTTCATACGATAAATTCACCATGGTTGAAAGGACAAAAGCACAATATTGCCTCGACAATTTCAAGGTAAGTCCTATAGTTAAGCATAGGAAGGAAGAAAGTTTTAGAAAAGTAGATTTATTGAAGGTTTTATTAAAAAGTAGTAGTAGTGACTATGTTAATTTTGCATATTGTGTTGATAATAGAATGATGCTAAAGAAGAATGTATTGATCATTTTTGGCGTAACCTCATTCAGGAAAAACAAAAGGTAAGTGCTACATCGTATTTGGTGTCCTTCTCTTACATATATAACACAAATGTTCTTACCCTCCTTTTTCCAAAGTCAAAATTAATCACTCTTGAGAATGAAATGAAGATTTCTCAAAAGGAGAAAGATTTGCTGGTTGAACGTGTGACCCTTCAGCATGTATGCTCACTTCGTTAAGTATTAATATGTAAAATTATAAGGGTGAAAAATATGCTTTTCAACAAGATTATAGATGTTTCCACTTGGATAAATTAAATAATATCAATATTAGAAGCTTAGCAATTCGCCGCCATTCATGAGACAGGCGGCTTTGAAAAAGTTGCATATATATATAATAAAGCAACATTTCAGACTTCAAGCTCTGAATAGTAACACCGTTTTCAAAACCTGTAGTCGGTAATGATAAGTTACAATTTTTGTAGATAAAGAATCGCCTAAATGTGTTCCGTTCATAATAATAATGTGCTACAAAAATACAGATTTGCCCGGCGAAGAATCCAAGTCATGTGATATAACCGTAAAGATTAAACAGACATTGTTACTGTTATACATTTTGCAATAATAGATAACTCATTGAATGCAAAGCAAGTTTTGTTTTTTGGCAAGATTCAGCATTTGATTTTTGCACAAAAGGGGGTGGGGGGTTTACTAATTACCAGAAGATAACTCAATTTCCAGCACATACTGCTTAATATTATCTGCAATCCATTTTGGTACAGATAGTGCAACAGTGTTGTTAGCCGTATTAGTATGAAGGGGTTGTTCTTTATAGACTGTGTACAAGTCTTTTGGTACAACAAAATAGAAACAAATATCACTTCCCAGTGCTAGTTTTGTTCAAGCCATTCATTTTGATAGGTTGATGCCTGCTAGTGGTTATCTGAAAGAGCTTGTCAGGAGCAACAATTGCATCTACTGAATTAAAATTCTTTCGTTTTGGCCTGCAGCACTTGCCATTTTCAATATCACTAACAACATCAAATTTCATGCTGGCCATTTGGTTCATGTCAAGCACTGATTGGGAAACATTGTTCCTAGATAAACAGCGAATGTTGAATGATCCTCCCTGTGCCAACATTTGATGGGCAATCATCTCAAAAAGATGTCCTCTGAGTGGTCCATATAAACCTTCTGATGAGGTGTGACATACAAAACTTTGCAACTCCTCCCTGTGTTTTGCATCAAGTTTTGTGAAAACCCTCTCACACACATAATCAGATGCAAATTGTACTCTCATTGAATATAACTGGGTGGGTTGTAGGGTTGGTGCATATGTGAATGAGTTTATAGCTGACATCATTTGCATTGTTTGCTTCACCAATGTATTCAATTATATCTTTTTTAACTGTGGAAAGTGCTTGCTCAAATATGTGTTTTGAGTGTTCAACTTTTTCCAGGACAAAACGAGGAATGCCCTCCAATCTGCCTGTATAACTCTATGACTTTTGTTTTTCAACATTCTCAAAGATTTCATTTCTGCATGCTTTGATCTCTTTCTCTGACCACACTAGCATGTATAATGTAACAGATCTGTGCTCCAGCATACTTATCAAACTCCCTATTAAAGTACCCCAAATTTAGATAATCGGGAATTTGAACTTCCATACTGTACCGCTTCAAATTCTGTACTGTACCTTTTCAATTATCAATACATACACTCCCGTGGCAAAAGTCACCGACCACCCCCTATATTTGTAATTAAATGAAAGTAAAATTAGGTTACGCGACACAAACGTTTAAAAAATCGTTAAAAATTAACCCACATATTAATTTACACTCAGTTACATTTATTTGAAAGTACAAAAAAAGCGCTGTCGTGTTTATAAAATATTGCCCAAATATCTCGCTTGTTTGTTGAGAAATTGAATTTTGAATCTAGGGTACTATTCCCCTTAAATTTGCAAATATTGACATAACAAGCAATACAATTACCGTGAAACTAATACTGACGTCAGGCATCTAGTCTACAACATATTTACAAAAAGTTGTAGCGTGTCAGCTAGTATTATGATAATATTTATATATTTATATATATCTAACGTTTTGTGTTACCGAATACGTTAAAATCAAGCCAAACGATCTAAAGTTTATGACAGCGAGTTGTTGCTCGAAAGCCACTTATTTTCATTGAAAAACGAGAAAGATCGAGTACAGTTGTGTCGAGAACATCGAGAATAGACTGCAGATGATTGAAAAAAAAAGTAATATGGAGCGATGAATCTCGCTTTACTCTGTTTGAAAATGATGGCAAAGCTCGTGTATGGAGACTTCCGAAAGAAAGATATAACATTGACTGTGTTGTTCCTACAGTCAAGCATGGTGATGGTGGAATAATGGTCTGGGGCTGTTTTACATGGGATTCTTTAGGTTCTTTAATCAGACTTGAAGAAATAGAAAATTGATAGTAAGAGATACATCGTAGAAGTCCTACAAAGCCATTCGTTACCATTTCTGCAAAGAATTGGAGGAAGATTACGAGTTTCAACAGGACAATGCTTCAATTCACAAGAGCAAACTGACTAATAAACTTGATGAAATGGCCTGGACAAAGCCCAGACCTCAACCCTATTAAGCACTTGTTGGATAAACGTACACTCCCTGCCAAAATTTTCGAAAATCTGTATTGCCGTTATTTACTAAGTAAACGACAAAAAATGTTATATCGTTACGAAGATAATTGACTGTAGTTTTCGAACAAAATACGAGCAAGTCGGTGTAACGAGCTAAAGTGTTAGTATTAGTGTATGTTACACATATGTAAATCGTATGTGTAACGTATTAATATCTCGTCTCTTCATTACAGCGAATTACAGCTTCGTATGATAAGTTATGATAAGTTGTGTAAATTTATCAGTATTTTGTTCGAAAACTACAGTCAATTAGCAGTCAATTAGCTTTATAACGATATAAAAAATTTTGTCGTTTACTTAGTATTAGTAAATAACGCTTTTCGAAATATGTTTTACTAATTGAGAGGGAGTGTAACACAGATGGACTAATTTGACTAGCGTATAAAGTGTCGGAAAAAGTGTCGGAATTATTGACTTTGATTAAAAAGAATGTAAGGACATGTCCCTACGAGTGCTGTTTCATAGTAAAGTTACACAAACAAATTATTTGCTTTGACGTTAACATGAATTTTTCGTGAGATATTAATAAGATAA